GGCACATTCCCTAGTGCAATGATATTCTTCACAATAGTTGTAAGTCATTTTAAAATTTGGAGGAAAAAAAACTAGTTCTACCTCCCTCTGGTGGTAGCATAGGGAGTTACATCCAGATAGCTTCAAATGAGGAGAGAAGAATAAGGGGAGTGTCAAGTATCCATGAGACTTGTTTCACCATATGATTTCTACTGAAGATATTATTTCACAGTATGTAGTCTCGTTTTCCTTTTTAATGGGAAGGAAAAGTGTTGTATTCATTTATATATACATATATATATATAGAGTGTTATATTTATTTTAAACAAGATTTAGCAAATCTTGTTTAAAAACTGATTATTACTTAAATCAAGCATTAACAACATTATATTTTATCAGTTTTTACAGTGGAAGAATAATGTAAAATCAATACTAATGAATGGAATCCTGGTATTTAGGTATTTGCGCATGTTGTATTGCCCTTAACATGATTTGTGCAGATAAAATTATTTAGCAAAAGTCTTAGATGATGTTGACAAGACTGTTGCACAAGCCCCTGTGATGTCATATTCAGGTACATGACACTGTTCTAAGAAATAATGGGGGTCAAAGAATAGAAACAGAATATTTGTTTGATATACAGTGCCTTGCGAAAGTATTTGACCCCCTTGAACCTTTCAACATTTCGCCACATTTCAGGCTTCAAACATAAAGATATAAAATTTTGATTTTTTTGTCGTGAATCAACAACAAGTGGGACACAATCGTGAAGTGGAACGAAATTTATTGGATAATTTAAACTTTTTTAACAAATAAAAAACTGAAAAGTGGGGCGTGCAATATTATTTGGCCCCTTTCAGTGCAGCAAACTCACTCCAGAAGTTCAGTGAGGATTTTTGAATGATCCAATGTTGTCCTAAATGACTGATGATGATAAATAGAATGCACCTGTGTGTAATCAAGTCTCCGTATAAATGCACCTGCTCTTTGATAGTCTCAGGGTTCTGTTTAAAGCGCAGCGAGAACCATGAAGACAAAGGAACACACCAGGCAGGTCCGACATACTGTTGTGGAGAAGTTTAAAGCAGGATTTGGATACAAAAAGATTTCCCAAGCTTTAAACATCTCAAGGAGTACTGTGCAAGCAATTATATTGAAATGGAAGGAGTATCAGACCACTGCAAATCTACCAAGACCCAGCCGTCCCTCCAAACTTTCATCTCAAACAAGGAGAAGACTGATCACAGATGCAGACAAGAGGCCCATGATCGCTCTGGATGAACTGCAGATAACTACAGCTGAGGTGGGGATGGTGTGTGCAGGGTGATGAGCTGTGTTGCTTTTACGCCAAACATATCGTTTTGCATTGTGGCCAAAAAGTTTGATCTTGGTTTCATCTGACCAGAGCACCTTCTTCCACATGTTTGGTGTGTCTCCCAGGTGGCTTGTGGCAAACTTTAAACGAGACTTTTTATGGATATCTTTGAGAAATGGCTTTCTTCTTGCCACTCTTCCATAAAGGCCATATTTGTGCAGTGCACGACTGATTGTTGTCCTATAGACACTCTCCCACCTCAGCTGTAGTTATCTGCAGTTCATCCAGAGTGATCATGGGCCTCTTGGCTGCATCTCTGATCAGTCTTCTCCTTGTTTGAGATGAAAGTTTGGAGGGATGGCCGGGTCTTGGTAGATTTGCAGTGGTCTGATACTCCTTCCATTTCAATATAATTGCTTGCACAGTGCTCCTTGAGATGTTTAAAGCTTGGGAAATCTTTTTGTATCCAAATCCGGCTTTAAACTTCTCCACAACAGTATCTCGGACCTGCCTGGTGTGTTCCTTTGTCTTCATGGTTCTCTCTGCGCTTTAAACAGAACCCTGAGACTATCAAAGAGCAGGTGCATTTATACGGAGACTTGATTACAGACAGGTGCATTCTATTTATCATCATCAGTCATTTAGGACAACATTGGATCATTCAAAGATCCTCACTGGACTTCTGGAGTGAGTTTTCTGCACTGAAAGTAAAGGGGCCGAATAATATTGCACGCTCCACTTTTCAGTTTTTTATTTGTTAAAAAAGTTTAAATTATCCAATAAATTTCGTTCCACTTCACGATTGTGTCCCACTTGTTGTTGGTTCATGACAAAACATTAAAATGCTATATCTTTATGTTTGAAGCGTGAAATGTGGCAAAATGTTGAAAGGTTGAAGGGGGCCGAATACTTTCGCAAGGCACTGTAGATTCAAGGGATTTATAGCCTAAACGGTTAAAGTGATAGTCTGTAACTCTAAATTAATTACAAATTTTAGGAAATGTGCTAAATTGACCTCCTGGCCTTAAATGTTGATATAAAATAAGTCATTTTATTAATTCTAATATAACGGGGAAGTCCCGCCTTCCCTGCTCTTAGCTATACATAGTTCCCACAGACCAATGAATGTCACATGACCTCCTCGGAGACGCCATCTTTGATGGCACGCTGCGGTGTTTGTGCATTCCATTAAACAGAAGAATGAGAATAAATGTAGATATTCAAACGCAAATTGGAAAAAAAAGGGCAACTTTTGAGCAAATAATTGTATATTAATACAATGGCACCACAGTTTAACGGGCTACGGACATGTTTTACATATTTGATCAAATTATGCAGCAAAAATTAACAAGCAATGCAAACATTTCTCAAAAACTTTAGATTTAATACCAGTTGGAGCTCCATTTAATTATTTTAATTATATTAACAATTAATTTAATTAATGCTAATGCCACACGGACACTCTGGATTGCTGTTATTGTTTATTTCCGCGTTTTTGACCGTATGTTTTGGTGAATGGTGGGCAACTGATTTTTCCAGGCGTAAAGAGCAGTTTATTTTATGACACAGATCTTTTTACAGAAGCAATGCTGTTTGTGAACATTGTTTTAGCCCACCATAGAACTATTATTATCTATTTAATACATTTACGTTGCCCTCGAGAGCCTCGGACGCGACACCGATCCTCCTCATAATAAAGTAATCTAACGCTAAATAATGAAACTCTCAAGTTACCAGCTATCAGCATACACAAGTTAGTACTGAGTAAATTACGTCTGTCAACACATTATAAGATACGATACGCACCTGACACAAAGTGCTCCGAGCATATTCTTGCGTGTTTTGAGGGAGTTTCTTGCCTGTTTATCTTCGCAAGCCATAACCTCCGTGGTTGTTCTGACAAAAGCTTAGTCTTTCTCACATTCATGAAGTCTAATGATGGGTATACTGTAAAATCCAAGTTTAACGGAACCTCCGGCACGATTTGAACATCCATTGACCCAGCAGGAGATGACCATTTTCAACTTTATCACGACATTAACACGTTTCAGCTTCTTTTTCTATTGTTTTGCCCACAGAATGCCAACACAAATGTCGCCGGGTCGGCAAATCCCCGTATGTAGTGACGTCATGTGGGAACTATGTTCAGAATCCACGGTGCCGTCGAGGTTAACCAATCGAGTCATGCCAAGAGCTGTCCATCATCGGCGCTGATGCTCGCAGCTGCGCGCATGCTCAGTTGTTTGTTTTCGCGGAGCCTCCGAATCAAGCCTCTATTAGGCTCTGGAACAACATGAAAACTGAACAAAGAATTCTGAACATCCGCGCTGAGTTACTCATTTATATACTGAACCTATATCCATAATCAGATCCTCTGCAGATGTGTCCTATAATGTGCAATTCATAATAATAGCACTTCCCGGTTTGCCGCGATCGCTTTTTTTGTGCATAAAAACATTATTTTTTTCATTAAAACGTTCACAAATAATTCTGAAAACCTCCGTGCATGTGTATTAATAATGTATATGTATAATGTGTTCTCTGATTAACATTTCAAAGTGTTACGGAAACGTAGGTGTGTAGACCAATCAGAAAGGAAGGGGGAGGGAGCTTGCGTCGTTTTTTTTTCAAATCAAGTACCTCTCTGTCTCTCTTTCTGACAAACTCCAGACAATCACTTTAAGGTATAGTTCATGCCTCTCGACAAAAAAAGATAAGATAAAATCATTCCTCGGTGGGGAAATCTCGATGTGATTGCTGCGCACATTACACAGAATGAAAAGAGAATGTAAGAGCATAAAGGTTAAAAGGGAAGTTATGAGGATTAATAGCAGAAAACATCTGACAACAGGTGACTGAGATGGAATAAATATATAAAAATGGTAAATACAAGTATCATTTGAGGGTATGTGAAAGAAAAATAAGGGCCACACACAAAAGTGTTCTGGACTGGTCCAGCGGCGGGGAGCCCCAAAGTTCCCATGGAACTATACATATTGATTTCATTATGAACCCTGGGAGTAAAGGAAATGTACAACTATGCATGTGTATGTTTTGGAGGTCAGTGCAGTAATGGATCAAACTCTAGAGAGTAATATTTGTGGAATCTATGGATAAGAGTCAGTCAGAGTAAGGATTTGGAGCACCGGTGCTGTCTGGCTGGTTTGACTTATAAAACAAAAAAGGCCATGACTGATTTTGGCCGAGTGCCACACGTGAGCCCAGAAACAGCTGCTGCAGAGAGGGGAAGGCAGAACAGAAGCAGAGCTGTCCAGTTCCCAGGCTGCAATCAGAGGAGCACAGGCTGCTGGGTAGAAACATTCACTTCTTTTTTCTGTATTGATACCACCCCCCCCCCCCCCATTCATTAATTCAGAAAAGTTCCTGTTGCAGCAGAACACATTTATTTGTTCATAACTTAAAGTTGAGCTGGAAAACAACAAAAGTCAGCTTTTTTGGTTAAAGTTCATATCTTTGTTAAAATGTTCACCTCAGTCTTATCGACATATTTTCATCTCCAATTTGACACAACATTCTCTGTTATATATTGAAACTTGAAGATGTGGTTTTTTCGAATTAAGCCATACGATTGTGCACATATCCGCCTGAAATTTCGATTTTATAATATACATATTTTTTATTCTTTACCCCCTTCTTCTTCTGTGTTTTAATGCATCACTAATGTTATTGTTTCTTGTTCTTGCAGGGCTGTGGGGCAGCCTGTGGGAAATGTGATTGCAGTGGTGTGAAAGGAGCAAAGGTAAGCTCATACTGACACAGTTACAGACATGTTGATTTATGTGTATGTCCCTATTCAAATAAACTAATAATAATACTCATAATAATGCATCTGTTTTATATAGCGCTTTTTTTGGACACGCTTCACATGTCATTATTCATTCACTCCATACACAGTGGTGATGAACTACTACAGTAGCCACAGCTGCCCTGGGGCACACTGACAGAAGCGAGGCAACCAGTATGTGTCATCAGCCCCTCTGACCACCACCGACCATTCTCACACACACCAGACTCATTCTAGGCAATGAGTAAATAATAAATAAGTAAATAAACATAAGGGACATCACTTCAGCTCTACAGGGCTGCGGCGCCTGAAATGTGCCTGAAATGTACCTGCGGAGCAGTGCACCTCCCGATTTTGTATAAAACAGAAAAAGACTTATAATCTGTTTAAATTGCTGTTTGTGTGTTTCATTGTTTTATAAAGATAAATAAATAAATACATTTATATAGTGGATGAATGTGTGTGATGGGAATTTCTTGTCACCCTCCAAAGAGGAAATGGTTTATGGCTAAAGATGGATAGCCATTCATCCAGCATATTTATCTTTATGTTCTATTGTTTATGTGTAGCATTTTCAAATGCAACAATTAGTACATAAATGCTTACTAGAACATAATTCATAATTGACTCTGAAAAAGGAAGTCCCACAGTCCTGTCTCACTGGGCTGCTGTTTAACTCAATGCTTCCATCTAGTGGTGTTTGAAATCAACTACATTCATTTTCAATGGGAATCACAACCATGGATCTATTATGATCTATCACAGCGCAGTTTATCACATGCTTATTGTGCGTTTGTCATCTACCAGTTACAGGCCGACACACAAATAAAACATTTTTAAAGATAAAAAAGTCATACATGATAAACGTGATTTAATGAAATACCTTCCTCAAGTGGAAGAGTTCAAGTATCTCAGGGTCGGTGTAGATGGATAGATAGACAGATACTTTATTGATCCCCATTGGAGAAATTCAGACGTCCAGTAGCAGCAGAAATAAAAAATAAAATTGATAATTCTAAAATGCTTACAATAGTAATAATAAGCTACAGCCTTTCAGGTCACAGCAGCAGAGGTGGAGTAGGCTTGGTTCGGACCATTTTCTCTGCTCTGGTCCAAAGTAAAATGCTGAATGCTTAATTAGCACTTTTCAAAAAGTTGACATTCCTCCAGTGGATCTTTGCCTGATCCGCTTGTTTCGGACCATGAATCCTCTGTGCTTCGGTCTGGACCAGTGCAAAACCATGAACACTGTACTGCAGCAACATCTCAGGTAGAAAAAAGCAATTAAAAAAACAATTGTAAAGCACAAAACAACAACGCATACCGTTCTGTAAAGTAAAAGTAAATAAACTGTATCGGACCGTTGTGGTAGAGAGGGCGCTGAGCCGAAAGGCAAAGCTTTTGATTTACCTCTCAATCTTCGTTCCCTCCCTCACCTATGGTCATGAGCTTTGGGTAATGACCGAAAGAACGAGATCACGGATACAAGCGGTCGAAATGAGCTTCCTCCGCAGAGTGGCTGGGCGCTCAGTACCACGGGAGGAGCTCGGAGTAGAGTCGCTGCTCCTCCACGTCAAGAGGAACCAGTTGAGGGAGGAGGCCCCGGGAAGATCCAGGACAAGCTGGAGGGATTATGTCTCTCAGCTGGCCTGGGAACGCCTTGGGGTCCCCTCGGACGAGCTGGAGGAAGTGTGTGTGGATAGGGAAGTCTGGGCGTCTCTGCTTAGACTGCTGCCCCCGTGACCCGGCAACGGATGAAGTGGAGGAAAATGGAATGGATGGATTTAATGATATATTAACAACACTTCCAGTTATGTATTCTTTATTGTGGTTGTATTTGTGCAGGGGGAGCGCGGTTTTCCTGGTCTCCAAGGAAACATGGGCTTTCCAGGGATGCAGGGCCATGAGGGGCCGGCTGGGCCAATCGGGCCCATGGTAAAATCATTTGTTATAATCACTAAACTGAATTAATATCGTATTTGTTTGATATTATAATAAAGGTTATTATTTGAATAAAGGGAGACACTGGAGAGTCGGGGGCTGCAGGACTGAAAGGAGTGCGAGTGAGTAATAAATGAGCAGAAACATAAAGAGAACACTTTACAGTCCAGATAACACACTTCTGTTTTCACACAGGGTCCACCTGGTTTACCAGGATTTCCTGGAAACCCAGGACTACCTGTATGTGTATAACACCTTTTTCTACACCTGTTGTTGTTGTCATAGTGTTAATAATACTGCTCTGTCTACCAGGGTATTAATGGAAATGATGGCCCCCCTGGTGTCCCTGGTATCCCAGGATGCAATGGAACTAAAGTAAGCATCTTGTCTGATTCAATAATTGTGCAATATTTTTATGATGATTAGCTGGAAATATCAACACACATCAGCATTAGCATTAGCGTGCGGCTCATGATTGTATCATGTACAATTGTAATCATGAGAAAACAAGCTCCTCATAGTTAATAGTTGTATGTGCTGTTTTGACCTCTCAAACCAATAAACAGTAAAGCTCCAAATTCTGTAGTTTTGTCATTTCAAAAGGAGAGGTAGTAACAACAAATATTGTTTTTTCTTTGTCTAATAAAATCCAAGTGCATGTATATAATAGTAGTTCGAGATATTGACCTGCTCTGATTTTCACAATCACTTTCAGGGAGAGATCGGTCGAGATGGAGTCCCTGGTCTCCCTGGATTTCAAGGATCTCCTGTAAGAGTCTTATTGAAGCATTGTATTCTAAACTTTGGAAAAACTTTTTTTTTTAATACTGAGAAGACATCATTGGCATTTGTGTTTGATGTTTTTTGTATTCTCTTATACTTCCTAGGGTATCCCAGGAATACCAGGAATGAAGGTAAGCAAATATAATCTTTACTATCTGAGGCAAAAGAACACACCATTGGTATAGGGGTGTGCCAAAATACAGGTTTTTAAGTAAATATTGGTAATATCTAAATAGATACAATACACGATTTGTTATATTTTTATTTGTATTTAGCTAAAAATCTTTTATATTTACAGTATTGCAATATGCATGATTGAAATGTATTGATTCAAGTTTTATTTAGAACAATTTCAGCCGAACGCCATAAACCCAGGATAAGGCCTCACATGTATAGTCACAAGTTCAATAATTACAATACAATACAATACAATACAATTTATTCTTGTATAGCCCTAAGTCACAACAGAAGTCATCTCAGAGACTTAACAAAACCATTGAAACACAGATCAGAGAATCAACAGTTAAAACACATGAAAAATATAAAGCACACACAGAAGAAAATGTCCAAACATGTTGTAGAATGCTAAAGTGTCCTGATCATCACCAATCCTTTCTGTTGGACATTAACTGTCCAACAAGACCCTCCTGCATCGACAAGGAACAACTCGAGGAAGGAATTCGCTCCTCCGGTCGGACAGGCTAATGATCCAGGACCTAAGCTACAGAACGTGGACCAGTGGCCACTGAACGTGGACAGGTCCGGTGCAGGACTGAAGCACTCCCAGGCGGGTCGGGCGGGGCAGTCCGCAGGTGTAGATGGAGGAGGCCAGGCTCAGAGGTCCCGTCATCATACCATGAAACAGATAATGGGACAACGGGTGAATAGCAATGAACAAACTACAGTCAAAATCCTAATAATGCTAAACAGGTAAAGTAGGAAGGAGGAGAGGATAGTGCTCAAGTTACCATACTTCTCCCAACAAACTGACTCCCTATGCAGCTTGACTGACAGTCTGAGGAGTTTAGCCTTCACTGAGTCTTACCTTCCTAGCCATAGGAAGGTAAGACTAATTGAAGGATGGAATACCCTTTGGAGCACTTTTGGTTTTGATTAAATTTGCTATTCAATCTTGCTGTATATTCAAATCAGCTCAGTTCTTTAAAGGGCAAAAACAAGACAACAAGAAAAGCATTCGTAGAGTGCATATCTCCACCAAGAGCTAAAGTTATTCCTTAAAAACATTCCTGGTTCCCCACAATGATCTTGATGTCCATTTCCAAGGTTTCTTGAAAAAGTTGTAAACATCCACCCATAACGTTTGGAGTTGGCTTATACACTAATAAAAATACATACAAACCCTGGTGACAACATCACCCCCTGATGGAGGGTATTGTTACAGGATTCTCCCGCTCTACTGTAACCTGTCTGTGGCGTTTAGTTTTATTATGCTGGTTTGAAACTTGCTTTTTTGGACATTGGTCTGTGTTGGTAAGTGTGCTATATAAATACAGACGACTTGTCTGCAGTGATGTCTTGTGCTCTTCAGGGTGACCCCGGAGGTGTTATTGGCATAGTTCCACTTAAAGGAGAGAGAGGGTTTCCTGGCACTCCCGGCCTCCCTGTAAGTTGTGAATCTCTATAAACTCTCTTTTAAAGTTCAATTCATCTGTTGAGACAGAACTGTCAGTCATCCTTTCTCTTCTCTGGTAAGGGTATAACTGGACCCCCTGGGCGTGGCGGAGCCAATGGGCCTCGAGGGGATCCAGGACCAAAAGTGAGACAATCCTCGAAGTAATCAGAAATAGTGTTTTTTGTATTTCACTTATTTGACTGTTTACACAGGGTGACCCTGGACCTCCCGGACTCCCAGGGGAGAAAGTAAGGTCCTCAGCGTACATACTGTATCAAGACTTTCTCAGATACAAAATAAAACTGTTTTCTCTTTTTGACATAGGGAGACCGGCTGGCCTTTGTCAGTGAGAAAGGCGACAAGGTGAAGACATACTTTATCTGCTTGACTATGATGAATGCAATGTTTTTTGTCGTATAATTATAAATATCTCTGTGATTGCATTCAGGGTGATCGGGGACTGCGTGGCCCTCCCGGCCCACCTGGCCCATACACTGGACTAGAGGGATCCACCACTCACTATGTTCCTGGACCACCAGTAGGGAATCTTACCACCGTAGGAGTTGTGAAAAATACTATATTTAATAATAACAAGTGATTTCTGTTGTAAAAAGGGAAACAGGGGATTCCCAGGAGACAAAGGAGACAAAGTAAATTTAACCTTACAAACACATCCACTTTTGTATTCAAGTATTAGTTAAATGAGATCTCATTTGCAGGGCTTCTGTATACCACATCTGGATGGGGTCAAAGGCGAAGCTGGCCCACCTGGAGCAAGGGTGTGTGTCCAAGGAAAACGTTTACACTGTTGTTGTTGTTCTTTTGTTTTTTTTTATTGATTGTGATTTTGACTTTTCTGTTTTAAGGGGAAACCTGGCAAAGATGGAGACCCTGGGATAAAGGTAACAAATCAATTCTGGAATTTTCAACCTTCTGACACATTCACAATCTCCAGCTGACTTATTTCTGTTGTTAGGGAGAAAAAGGTTTTACGGGTACCGCAGGGAAGGATGGATTACCGGTAACTAAAATAATGGACCATAACTTTTGTACTGTAATATAATTGCACATGTTTGGGTATCAATTTAAATTAAAAATTGTCATTTGTCAGGGTGGAAAAGGGGAAAAAGGCCCCCCTGGTTATGTAAGTATAAACAAACTTATACTATCTTAGCTTAATTTGATTTGTTTGGCTCAAATACAATTCTACAGTATATGTGACAGACTGCCTTATACTATTGCCAACCATTTTTAGTATCTTAATCTCAATTGCATAACATTTTATTCTGTATCTATAGGGTAGTGGTGCTCCTGGTCCTCCCGGTCCCCCTGGACTTCCAGGATTGGAAGGAGAGAAAGGTACCATACAAACAAATCACACAAGCAGTGTGCAGGTTCAGGTTCCTCTAATTGTTTTTTTCTGTCTTATCTCAGGTTTTCCTGGTCCGCAGGGAGAGACTGGTCCTCCAGGTAAAACAGTAACTATAGAAAACCAATCACAAACTTGTGCCAACGTTTCTTGTGTCTGAATATCAGGAAGTCACATAGAAGGGGCAAAAGGAGAGAAGGGCCTGAAGGGAAACGCTGGTGAAAAAGGAGAGCGTGGTTTAGACGGAGAATCTCTGATTGGGCCCCCAGGAGAACCCGGACGAGAAGGACAGCCTGGAGCTCCTGGACCAATAGGTGCATGTCATGTTTAAAAAATGATTTAATGCCTATTTTAAGATAAGTTATTGTTATTTGTTGTGTTTATACTTTTTCATTACAGCCAATATTTATGATTGCAACGTCCAGAAAGGGATCCCTGGTCAACCTGGACCTCCGGGACTGCAGGGAGAGCTGGGACAGAAAGGTGATGGTCACTGTGACTGTTGAATGTACAACATATACAGAAAAAGTAACAGAGAACTGTGAACAATTTTGTTTTACCTTATTTATGTACATGCATTGAAATACTTAATGACTGTCTTAATGACTGCTGTATCTTGCCCCAACAATTATATAGAGCCCACCTGAATACAATTTACTCCTAGTGAAAATACAGCTGTTCTGTGATTGGTTCCTTAGGATGACATTTACGTACAGCTTACCTGTGCATGGGGCAAATATTAGTCTTCCTCAAAATAATTTGAGTTCTTGAGTCGTCTATATAACAGTGGGGAACATATAGATAGAAGATGGGACCTAAAATAGAGCCGTGCAGCACACCATGGGCGGCACGGTGGCAGAGTGGATAGCACTCTCGCCTCTCAGCAAGAAGGTCCTGGGTTCGAATCCCGGTTGGACCAGGGCCTTTCTGAGTGGAGTTTGCATGTTCTCCCCGTGTCTGCGTAGGTTTCCTCCGGGTGCTCCGGTTTCCCCTGCCACTAAAAATATGTACAATAGGTCTGACATGTGTCTCCTGTACTGGTCCCACTCCCAAAAAAAACAATTGTAAACCGCTTTGAGACTCCGATGTGCAGTGAAAAGGCGGTATATAAATAAAGATTACTACTACTACTACTACTACCACAGGTAACGAGGGTTGATGAGGAGGTAAAATTACTCATGATTGAAGATTAAAACTATTAGTACATGTTCAAGCCACGTTATTTGCAACCTGTAATCTTTCTCTTAGGTGACAAAGGAGACACTTGTGTCCTGTGCGAGGGCCTTGTGGCCCCTGGTTTACCTGGCCCCATTGGTCCAAAGGGAGATAGAGGTGAATTCACATAAACACTTATTGTATCACAAACAAGTCACATTTTTGTATGTGATTCAATGTATTATTTCTATTTATTTTTCTTCTCACAGGACCCCCTGGAGCAGTTGGTGGCAAAGGTGAAAAGGGTCAGCCTGGATTGTCTGGGACCCCTGGCAGACCTGTACGTAGAGCTATAACCTATGACTAAAATCCATGATGAACCATGATATTTCAAGCAGAAATGCAGACTTGAATTGTTGTGTGTTCTTGAACAGGGATCACAAGGTACCCCTGGGATAAGGGGGTCTCCTGGTGCCGTGGGAGAGCCTGGTGACATCTATGTGGCTCCGGGTCTGAAAGGAGAGAAGGGTCTCCCAGGTACTCCAGGGTCTCCAGGCAGACCAGGACTGGACGGAGTCTCTGGACGAGATGGCCTCCCTGGGACACCTGGGCTCAAAGGAGAACCTGTGAGTAATAACATTATTTACACTATGGAACTAAAGGTTTTGTTGCAGTATGTGATATTTGTCTGAACTGTTACACTTCAGTCTAGAGAAGGTGGCAGGGGTGAGCGGGGACCAGATGGAGACCCAGGTCCAATTGGAACTCCTGGGGAGAGAGGTCCTCCGGGGATCCCAGGTTTTGGCCGTCCTGGCGAACCTGGAGAGAAGGGAACTTCGGGCAGACCAGGGCCACCCGGAACTCCTGGGGTACCAGGTAAGCAAACACTGGAGATTACTGTGATACTGGTGTATTCCTGATTCATGTTTTTATGGTCACTAAACATTCTCAACAGGTGTCAAAGGTGAGCCAGGACAGGGTGTGAGTACTCCTGGAGCTCAAGGTACTCCCGGGCCTCCTGGAGAGCCTGGTTTACCTGGAATTCACGGTCAGTCACATTAACATGCATCAGGTGGAACAATATTCAACTGGAGTCCAAGTGATTTTTGTGGGTGCAGGGGAAAGAGGACCCCAAGGAGATACAGGCCCACCAGGTTTCCCTGGTCTAAAGGGTGATTCAGGACCTCCAGGGATTGGATTGCCTGGACCAACTGGTTCCAAAGGTAATTCATAACATGGGATCATCAATATAAATTTCATTGTCATTAAATGTCATTTACCAATCTATACATAATACAGGATTCAGTGGAATTCCAGGAGCTGCCGGAATTCCAGGAGAACCAGGAAAACCTGGTCGTGACGGTCTAACTGGACAACCAGGTTCACTCGGTCAAAAAGTAGGTATTTCATGATATATTTTAAGCTGCTTTTACAGTATTTTATATGCTTTTACAGTATGGTAAAGATCTCCAATGCTATAGCTATAATAATCTGTTTTCTAAAGGGTGAACCAGGGCGTGGTCTGCCTGGGCCTAAAGGCTCTCAGGGACCCTCTGGGTTCCCTGGTTTCCAAGGGGAGAAGGGGAGCACTGGGTTTCCAGGTATTCCTGGAAGAGAGGGTCCAACTGGCCCGCTAGGCCCTCAGGGAATTAAAGGTAACGTTATATGAAGCTTCACTCTGCTGTGCTATTTATTAGAAGATGATACTCAGTCGATTTATAAATATTTAAGGTGATGTGGGTCCTCCTGGTCCTCCTGGGCAGCTTGGAAGTCCTGGTGCACCTGGCAAAGGGTCACCAGGCGAACCTGGTGAACAAGGACCACCTGGGGAGCCTGGCCAAACAGGTGAGCTTACATTTACAATAGGTACTCAAAGAACCATTGTATGAACTCAAATGTACTTACTGTTGTTGGGTGATATGCAGGCAGAGAAGGTGTTAAAGGGGAAAAGGGTTTCCCAGGGCCCGCTGGTCTGGACATGCCTGGTCTTCAAGGTGAGAAAGGAGCACCAGGTTTTCCTGGAATTTCTGGCACCAAAGGTCTTCCAGGTCCTGCAGGTTTACCGGGCCGAGATGGATTTCCTGGTAATCAAGGTATAAATTAATATTGCCTTTAGTCATTGCTTGAAGAATGTTTTACTTTATTGAAATTGATTTTGTATTGTCAAGGATCCAAGGGGGAGATGGGAGTCATTGGGACTCCTGGAGTTCCAGGCTTTCCTGGGTCACCTGGTGTGCGTGGCTCTCCTGGTCCGAGAGGTAAGGGAGAATTACAGTCCGGTCCATAAATATTGAGACGTTGACACAATTGCTGTATACACCACCACATCAACATAACAGACAAATAACAGGGTTGGATGAAGCAAACGTTTGTTTCATTCAACACATGGTATTGTTATTACAATACCATTGTAATAATGGCCACATGGTATTGTAGTGGTCTTACAATACATTGCTGTTATTACAATTATTGTTATTACTATAATACCATGTGATAAAATCATCATACAGTAGAAATCAAAAACACAAGACAAGATGGCAAATACAGTAATATAATACCTGGCTCTACTGCAGATGGTACAACAAAACAAGACACACACACACACAAGTTGATTGTTTAAGTTGATCATGTCCTGCAGGTTAAGTTAACACAACATGAATTAATTCTTTGTGGACCTCCTTTTGCTTGTTTGGAGCATGACTCTACCAGCTTTGCACCTCAACAAACTGAATGTTTTGCCCATCACCAGGCTGTGCTCCACCTCTGTGGAGTCGACCATTTTGATGGAAGATAGAGCCAAAAAGAGGATGATTGTTTTAATCCTCCATCACTAAATATGTTCAGTAACATTCTGAATCCATGTGTTAGGTGATCCTGGTTTTACTGGGCCTAGAGGTGATATAGGAGAACCTGGGCTGAAAGGGGAAAGAGGAGAGCAAGGTCTTCAAGGACCACCTGGAAATATGTCTGTGGTCGATATGGAACACATGAAGGGAGATAAAGGAGACATTGGAGACCCAGGTATTGTTTTGTAAATGCACATGTACTAAAGTTGATCTTAGTTTTAAGTCCTTTTGCTTCATTATTTATGTTTGTTCCTACTAGGCAATCCTGGTGGTAGTGGGCAAAAAGGATTCAGAGGAATGCCTGGAGATCCTGGTATGCCAGGAAAGGATGGGGATCCTGGTTTACGCGGACATCCTGGTAAATAATTGTATAGTTTATGCAGGCTTATTAAAGAAAACATATTATTAATTTTGTTGAATTATTATGTTAATACTATGATCATTATGTTATTACATTTTACAGGATACAAAGGAGAACAAGGTTTTCCTGGGGAGCCTGGTGGCATGGGGCCACCTGGGCATAAAGGCACTGCGGGAGAAATGGGTATTCCAGGTATATAAGTGTAATACTCACAGTATTATCAGAATAGAAAATACAGGCTGAATCAAACACTTCTTTTCCTGGCAGGTCCTGTTGGTCCGAAGGGTACGAAGGGAGATGTTGGGACACCAGGTCATCCAGGGTTCAGAGGACAAGATGGAGAGAAAGGAGAACAAGGTGTCCCAGGTGAACCCGGTATTGGAGTCCCCGGACATCCAGGAGAGAAGGTTTGTGCAAATTTTTTAGCCTCACGCGGTAAAAGAAAGTTGTCCGACAAGGTCTCATCCTGAATCAAAATCCACGCGACTGAGCATGGCCAGACCAACTCGGTCTGCTGTGGCCAGGGCTGAACATGCTTCCCAAACAGTCATCGGGCCTCATTCGCCAATATCCTCTTAAGAATCTTCTTAAATTTCTTCTTGTCTTTTCGTCGTTCTTAAGTAGATTTCTAAGAAGAGCCTACGTGGGATTCATCAACGCGCTCTTAAGCCGCTGAATTGTTTGTAGTTGTTCACTTAGATTGATGAATGCCACCTCCTCGTTAAGTTGAGTGCGTATGCCAAGTGAGTCATTAGCATAGGTACTTAGCATAGGTAGCCGCCCATTAATGCCCATAAAAGGGACTGCAGGGCCGTGTGCAGACGCCAGAGGAAGCAGCAACAGGCCTAAAGCAAAGAGTTACGACGGAGCCAAAGAGTCACTCTTTTTTCTTCCTTTGTCAGACTGAGAATAAAGTTATAAAATTTTGACTTTAAAGTCAAAATATTATGAGAATAAAGTCGAACTAGCAAAATTATGAAATTAATCTATAAATATTATGAAATTAATCTCAAAATAATATGAGATTAATCTCAAAATATTTTGAGCCCTGGGAGGAGATCCAGTGCGGACCAGCGCTGAGACCAATGCAGACCCGAGGAGAGACCATAGACTGGAGAGACCAGCGCGAACACGAGGAGAGACCAGCTCGGACCCGTAATAGATCAATGGGAGAGACCAGTGCGGACGCGTATAGATCCATGGGACAGACCATGGATCTATACGGACCCCGCAACCTCCTGCAGCAGCAGTATATATGCCATTATTTAGTGGCCCATGGATAAAGAAATGCCCCCTATAAATAGGATGGGATCACTAACACATGGCATGATTTCCAATGTATTTGATAAAGCGTTGACACATTTAATTAAAAAATGAATTTAAAAATAGGCTAAATATCCATAAACAATTAAATGAATAAATACATACATTAATATGACAGACATATCACTGTAATGTTGTGTTTTATTGAACTTCGAGATTAGAGATGAGGCTGAATGACATTGTGTGCCAATCATGAACTCTCTGACCTGGTATGGATTTGCCCCTGTGTACGGAGGTTTTGAGGGCGCCGCAATTCGGATTAATTGGATTCATAGAATATCTGCCTATTTTTGACCGCTACATTGCATTTAAAATTGTCCCTCTCAAGGCGATGTGTTTTCCCTATTGTTGTGGCTGTCTCCTCTCCACTCGGGCCGGCAGTTGGAGGTGCTCATCCCGAGAAAAAAATCTGTGTTTTATACAAAGCACAATGGGCCTCATGTATGAAAATTGCGCAGAAAAAGTTGCACATTTTGGGTGTAGATCCCAGATACGCCATATCTGACGTGGCATTTATGAACGTGTGAGATACGCACAGATCTGAGCGTACGCATCTGCGGCTGTTGATAAATGCCGCTCTCAAAACTAGCGTATATATGAAAGTCATGCCTATAAATATTCAGAAACTGCCTTTTCCACACCCTGTTTTTGCGACGGGTCAGCAGTAAGTCGGCTAAAAGCCGCAAAAAGCACGCACTTTTGAGTTTATTCACGTTTAAAAAAACAAAACAAAAAACACTATATTATATATACACTTGTTTCCCTAGTGTCTAGACCCACTGCAGAACTCATCTCTCCTGAAATTTTGACGTAAATAAATAAATAATAAATGACCTGAATGAATGAATGAACTATACTGCTGGTGCGCGTCGCATCCTATCTTTGCTCTGCGGAGTAAAGGGCAGTGTCTGAGACAGTTTTGAGCAAGATCAGGTGCATTTATGACCTAACTAACTAAGGAAAACCCACATTGCTTTGCCAGAGGTGAATGAGGCAAAACATATGCGTAATTACGTGTACGGCGCAGGGTCTGCCACAGGTTGTTCATGCATATGTAAAAATAAATATACGCTACGCTATTTATTCAGCTGCGTTTTGAACAAATTTGCAAAAAATTTTTGATAGAAGTGAATAAATAAAGAATGAATGAATGAATTCATATTGTGCAGCGTGGCTCTCATCAATGAAGCGTGCAGCGTCTGGTGAATGCACTGAAGCGCTGTACACTTGCGAGAGCGTTTGCGGTCCAGATTTTACAGAGAAACTCTGAAGCCAAAACTTCTGAATGACAGCATTTGAGGAGTTATGTGGCGCGTCTCTCATGGCACCTGCTGTGGATGCACTCCCAAGAGTGCGCAGCGGCTGGACAGGGCAGTGAGACATTTGGAGTGAGCAATGCCATAGTCCATCGGTCCGTGCGTTAATGGGATGTGTGTCTGTGTGAGGCTTACACATCCATCCATTTTCTTCCCCTTAATCCATTTCTGGGTCAGGGGGGTGACAGTCAGAGCTGCACCCAGTACACATAGCATCTGCCCCTCACTGATCCTCCTGCAGGGGGGGAGTCCACAGGAGCTGAGATCTTTCAGTTGGGGCTTTGGGCAAAGTAGGGTTAAGTGTCTTGCCCAAGGACACAACGACAGCAGTCATCAGTGGGAGTCGTGAAGTAGGTCTTACGGTGGGCTCGAACCCACGACCTTCAGGCTCAAAGGCCAATGCTCTACCAACTGAGCTACTGTCGCCGCTACTGTGCATTAGATAGGCTTACACATATCTAATGAAAACATACATTGCTTTACCAGATGTGAATGAGGAATACAAATAGCCGTGCGTAATTACGCAGCGCAGAGCCTGCCACAGCAATAGCTGGGTCACACATCCCTGTCGCGTAAAGTGTATTTGTATAGAGCCTTTCACTGTCCAGGATCACAAAGCGCTTCACATTTTAAAAACATACAGATCAAAATAATACACACAGAAGTCAGATTTAAAATCATAGAAACAGAACAGGCTCCTCATCATGATCTGTGATTTATTCGAAGTTTGCATGTTTCAAGAGTGTTAGACTTTTTCTGATAATTCTGCAAATTCAAATTCCGAAACATGATGCTCCATGAAAACGCAGCTTATAATATTGCCAGAGTGGGAACATGTTTATTGTTGTCCAAATCTTGAATTGGTGTGTTGTGGCGAAGGATGAAATGAGCGTACACTTTATACCACCTATTGACTTGGTGTAAATTCTGTGCATATCGTACGCTCACGTCCAGATTGATAAATGCGGATAAGTGTAAATTGTTTGCGTACGCATCATTTACACTCTGATTTAGCCGTACGCAAGTTTCATACATGAGGCCCAATGTGTCTATCCAATTGTCTGTGAAACTGTGTGTTATTGCGCTCTGCTGCACGCTCTCTGCCAAAACAATTTCCAAGTGGTAACTTTTAATAATAATGCATTGGTTTTATATAGCGCTTTTCTGGACACTCAAAGACGCTTCACATCACTACTGTGATGTGTGAACTACTACTGTAGCCACAGCTGCCCTGGGGCACACTGACAGAAGCGAGGCAACCAGTTTGCGCCATCGACCCCTCCGACCATTCACACACACCAGACTCATTCTAGGCAATGGGGGTGAAGTGTCTTGCCTAAGGACACAACAACAGTTTGGCACTTTACAGCCGCAGCCGCCCCACTGTGGCTGGTGTTCCCAGAGGTTAAGTGTCTTGCCAAGGACACAACGACAGCAGACAGTGGGAGTCGATGGTGAAGGTCGGGCTCGAACCCACGCCCCTCTGGCTCAAAGGCCCATGCTCTACCAACTGAGCTACTGTTTTGTTTGTTACTTACGTGGCAATAAAAATTATTCTGATTCTGATCTGATTCTGATTCACAAAAGAAAACAACACCAGCATGTGAACATGTCGGCACTGTATGTGCTTAAGAAAATCCTCATAAGTAAGGTTTACGTACAAATTTGTTCTAAAGAACGGTTCGTGAATTATGCCAATTATCTTTACTGTATACATTTTTAAATGCAGTTTCATTTTCAGTTTGATGTGTAGGGAAAATAGAATAAAGTCCTGCCTTCAAACCGTAGAATACATATAGAATTTTAAGTTTTCACCATTTTTGAGGAGGAGAGGATGTACTGTACTGTGTATGAACTAAACACTGGTCGCACAAGAATAAGCCCCATGTGAAAGGTACTACTCATACTTGTTAAATGTACTGATCTGATTTTTCTCAATGCTTCCCATCCATTCCTTCTTGAACAGACAATGGAACTCTATAAGTTCATGCTTTTAGATGTGGAAATGTGCATTTTGATGACAGGCTTTTTGACTTTTGCATCTGTGTCTTATTTTTTATTGGTGTAGAACTTTGAACGGACAACAAATTAAATCAAGCAAATATAGTAAATAATAAGAATAAAGGCAAGCCTCATGAACAATCCACAACTGGTCACCATTTTAAGAGAACATTTAAGAGAACCTTTCGATTAGGTTAGGTTTTTGTTGAATTGTATGTACTTTTTATTCCCACATAGGGTCCAGCGGGTCAGCCAGGATTCCCAGGGGTGGCTGGAGAAAAGGGGCAGAAGGGCCAGATGGGAATGCCAGGTCAACATGGTCAACAGGGCTTGAAGGGAGACAAAGGCTTTTCTGGATCTCCTGGTCAGAATCTGAAGATGCTTTAAATGACCACACTTGAAATCTGTATTTATTTATTTTGGTCAATGATCTGTGGATGAGTAGGTCAGCCTGGAATACCGGGAGATAAGGGTACTCCAGGACTTTCCGGCTCTCGTGGAGAAACAGGACCCGATGGCCAACCAGGTTTGCAAATTTTGCTGATTTTTAGTTTACCATTAACATGATATAAATAATATTGTAAGGTTTTTTTGCTGCCTGGCTAATAATCTACTAATAGAATTAGAAAGAGAGGTTTCTGCTACAAAGTTACTGTGTTTCATACATAATTAAACACAATGTTTTATCATACTGTATTTACTAAGGATACAGTATTATTAAGACCCATGATTAAATGACTACCTGAAAAGAGAATCTAAAAAAAAATCTAGATCAAGTTTTGTTGTACAGGTGCAATGATAAAGATTTTTTATTTTTTTAATCTGTTCTATCAGGTGAACCTGGTCTCTTGGGGCCTCCTGGTTCCCCTGGTGAGAAAGGAGATCCAGGAGTTGATGGCATCCCTGGATCCTCTGGAGAGAGGGGGGAACCTGGTAACACTCCTCTGGCTAATCCTTAATGCAAACAATGTAATAATGATTATGGAGCACAAAATACCAAACTCTCTGCACTCTTCTGCAGGTGTACCTGGACAAGGCTTCCCTGGGAAACACGGCGCAGAAGGCAGTAAAGGTAAGGACGACTTTAGATCTACTGCAGCGTCACAGGTTTATTCAACCTGCCTTTTTTCCCTTCAGGCGATAAAGGAAGTCCTGGATTTCCTGGCACTCCTGGGCATCCGGGTGTTCCTGGAGTGAAAGGTGATAAAGGTTTACTAGGTCCAGTAGGTCCTCAAGGAGAGGCAGGAGAGAGGGGGCTTCCAGGAGCGTCTCTAGAAGGCCCTAAAGGAGACCCGGGAGTGAGTGGACAACCTGGGGATCCAGGTAAAGCCTTGTTTGAATCATATTCACTGTACAGGTTTTTAAAACCAAATCATTTACCTACTGTGTTTATAAACAAGGACCCCCTGGTGTACCTGGTATTACTGGAGTCCCAGGAAGAGATGGTCAAAAAGGAGATAAAGGAGACCAGGGTCGTCCAGGATTCCAAGGAGAGACAGGGCAGAAGGGCGACTTTGGGACTTCAGGCTTACCGGTGAGTTTCACAGTTCACTTTCTTAAACACAGACATTTATTCATAGCTTAAACATGTCTGTTGCAGGGTCAGTCTGGTCTTCCAGGAGTCGATGGACAGAAGGGAGAAAGGGGTCAACAGGGCGCCCCTGGCTTCAGAGGTACTGTACTGGATATGTAGTGTTCAAAATATGGACAATGACTTAAACTACACTGTGTTCTCCAGGTGAAAAGGGTGTTGTGGGAGAAATTGGTTTCAAAGGAGAGCTTGGAGACATAGGATTTCTGGGGGAAAAAGGTAAATTTATAAGAAAAGATAAACATCTCACAATGGAGACATTTACATGATGAACACATTTACAAAAAATAACTGTTTTATATCAAAGCCAAACCATTTGACAACAATATCCTGACATGGGTTGGATATTTCAGGCAATCAAGGCCCCCCCGGTCCCCCTGGCCCCCACACATTCATCAAAGGAGACATGGGGGTTCCTGGAATTCAGGGTTATCCTGGTCCAAAGGGGTCTTATGGGAATCCAGGATTAAAGGGTCTACAAGGTGATGCATGGATATTTTTTGTTTTTTATATATGATTCTTGCCTGAATATCATTGTCTCTGAAATGGAAATACTTCTAGGTATCACTGGAATCCAAGGGCCAAAAGGTGAAGATGGGCTTCCCGGTTACAATGGTCAGCCTGGAGCTAAAGGAGAGCCTGGCCTTCCAGGACCACAAGGTCAAAGATACATTTTGAATCTCAATGTGCCTCAACATTCCTATTAATAACTTGTTATTATCTTCACGTGTGAAGGAAGAACTGGTCTTCCAGGACCTACGGGGCCTGATGGTGTGCCTGGTCAAGTAGGTCCGACTGGGCCTTCTTCAATGTATCATGGCTTCTTGGTGACGCGACACAGCCAGTCAGTGGAGGTTCCAGTGTGTCCCGAAGGAACGTCACCTATTTATGATGGATACTCCTTACTATATGTGCAGGGCAACGAGCGCTCACATGGACAAGACTTGGGTAAGATTTACTGTCTGTTGCAAATCCTCAGAATGTGAACAGAATGAGATGTTCTGTGGCATTTTGCTTTAGGTACCGCGGGAAGCTGTCTTAGAAAATTCAGCCCAATGCCTTTTTTGTTCTGTAACATCAACAATGTGTGCAACTTTGCCTCCCGTAACGATTACTCATACTGGCTCACTTCCCCTGAACCCATGCCCATGAGCATGGCACCCATCACAGGGGAGAGTATCAAGCCTTTCATCAGCAGGTATGGCACATCTCTTATTATCATAGATTTTGCTGCATGTACACATGTTACCTCTGTGCACAGGTGTGCTGTGTGTGAAGCCCCAGCCATGGTGATAGCTGTTCACAGTCAGACCATCATGATCCCAGCATGTCCAAACGGATGGGACTCTCTGTGGATCGGTTACTCTTTTGTCATGGTGAGCATGGATCCAGTGTACTACTCAGTACATGTACTTTATAGAATGTTCACTGCTAGTCTGTGGAAGAAATGGTAAAATATACAGTATATAATGGTTATTGTGTGCAGCACACCAGTGCCGGTGCAGAGGGCTCGGGGCAGGCTCTTGCCTCTCCTGGATCTTGTCTTGAGGAGTTTCGCAGTGCCCCGTTCATTGAGTGCCATGGGAGAGGAACATGCAACTACTATGCAAACTCATACAGCTTTTGGCTGGCCACCATAGAAGACAGCGAGATGTTTACGTGAGATCAATTTATCAAAACTAGCATTGAATTACATCCATTATGAGTAAATGAATGAATATTTGTGTCAATGTTTCAGGAAACCTGTCCCAACAACACTGAAGGCAGGAAATCTGCGTACACACATCAGCCGGTGCCAGGTGTGCATGAAGAGGACGTTTGCCTAGTGCTGCAGCTGATCAGCGTCTTGTACTACACTTGGCCTCCAGAAGACGGTGCTATTCCTCACTTGTTGAAACAGGACAAGGACAGAGGCTTGGAGAAAAGATGGAAGTTCAAACCAAGAACAATGAGACCAAAGTGGCTTTTGCAGAACTTGTGTTGAAAGGCTGGTGCAGAGTTTACCACTGCACTGATGACACTTATAAACTGGTAAACTTGCATCCATTTGAAACGCCGTACGCCTGGTGCTATTCTGCCTCACTTCTATGCCTTCATTATCTTTCCCTAACGTTTCCACACGCAGAAAGGATATATCTATTATTGACACGTTTTGTAAAACAACGGGAATTACCACTGGTGTTATGCTAATGCCCACTACGCCTAATAACTACAGCTATACTCCTTTGTAAATATGAACTTCTTGTTTCGTAGTCCTCAGGTTATCATTCAAAAACTCTTTGTGTTGTCATTACATTATTTATAAGATTTGTGGAAAATACTTACGACTCGAGTGTACCAAACCAAGAAGACACTTCTTACAACAGGAACAGCACTGAATTGTCATGGCAGGTGTGTGATTGAGCTTTGTGTGAAAGACTGTATGAATGGACTTTGTGACATTGAAGATGCCTGCGATGTTATGTAGAATTAATCCAAAAGGCACACTTTGTTCTCCCAACAAACACATGTATATAATGTTGTTAATGTTATAATGCTTTTTTACTAGATTGCTCCAAGTTGTATTGTTTTATTGTCCCATTTACACCAAGGAGAAATGAAGTCTACTATTTAAACACCAAACATTACTTTCTGATTCTTTCTATGATTTGCCTCATTGTGTGAATTTATTTCAATAAAGTGATGTGTAAATGGAATAGAATTGTTAGAAAAATATGGTTTCAGTCCATTAACCCCTTTACATCCACCGGCGAGCCGTTTATTTTTAAAATGTTCTGCTGGCAATAGCAGATGTATTTTGAACACCAAACCCCAAAATCTTTCAAAAGATATAACACATAATATGGGCACAAAAGAAATCACTTCAGAAAAAGTTTTTTACCTTTGGGCTTGTGCTGCATAAATAAATCAGCTCTCCTTCCAGCTTCCAACACCTCTTTCTCTCTGGAACAGTCCATTTAAAAATAATATCCAGTTGAAACATAGTAAAAACATAGTATCCACGTGTTCCCCTACTCCTTAGCTTTAAAATGACACCTTCCATGAAGCTCTACGAGCTATTTTGGGTCTGTAACATCTCCCGGTAGTACTGGTAGCGGCTGCTTGTTGCACATCGGTGAACTGAGCTTTGTTCCTGGCCGAAAGATTGACATATATATGCCGTGTAGCCAATGAGGAAAGCTTTCTAGCAAAGGGTGGGACAAAGGTGTACTGTTTTATTTTCTGTCCCTAAAAGGGTGAGTAATGGCAGCCAAAAGATGCTCTTGAAGCCACAATGATTTTACACTCATAAAAAATGAACTTTGACATTTTTTTGTAAAATAAATCACATAGATTAGTAACTTATAAGTACCAATAATAAAATATATGGTTTTTATGATGATGAAATGTCAGTAAAGCATTTGTGCCAAATGTGCACTACTTGATGAAAAAGAGAAACTGCATAAAAACTATAAAACTTAGAAGTCTGAAACTTTAGACAGTTGTTGTCAACAACACAATGACCATAGGGTTTGAATATTGTGAACTTACAATGAATATGCCTTTTTTAGGGCCTTTAGGAATTGAAAATTTTAGGCGAGGCTAAAAAAATAGGTTTTTTTCCCAAACTTCAAAGGATGCAGAGTGAAATAGGAATGACACACATTGTTTTAGTGTATATTTACATAAACTAGAAGGCTCTAGCTTTAATATGATGCATCACACAAGCATGGGACATGTAAGATGTATTTTTAAATAAGCAAAGACATTTGGGCACGCCCAACTTTTGCGAGCCAAAATGAGACGGGTGTTAAGAGGTTGTGTCTCATTGTGAAGTTGGTCCTCTCTTTTCGACTTTTCTGTCAGAAAACTCTGATCCAAACACATCACACAGTCCAAAATAATATGCATGTGAAAACTAGAGATAGAAGCAAATTGTTTTAGAGCAAGGAAGTCATAGAAGGTTATGTACCCCAGCTTTACGCTTTCACAAATGAGCCTGTCTTCCCATTCTGGTCAATGCCTGCTTCCAATTTCGTTGAAATATATAGATAGATATTTCATTGATCCTCGTAGGGCATAGGAGATATTCAGGTAGATATTCAGGTATTGGGCGGCACGGTGGCTGAGTGGATAGCACTCTCGCCTCTCAGCAAGAAAGTCCTGGGTTCGAATCCCGGTCGGACCATGGCCTTTCTGAGTGGAGTTTGCACGTTCTCCCCGTGTCTGCGTAAGTTTTCACCGGGTGCTCCGGTTTCCCCTACCACTAAAAATATGTCCAATAGTTCTGGCATGCGCCTCCTATACTGGCGACCCCGCTCCCATCTCTGTGTGGAGTGAGAGACAAATGCCCAAATTAACAATTGTAAACCACTTTGAGACTCAGATCTGCAGTGAAAAGGCAGTATATAAATAAAGATTACTAAGATTACTGCCCAGAAGTAACAAAAATAAAAGTGATCATTCTAAAAAGCTAACCATATTAATAATAAGCAACAGTCCTTCAGGTCACAGCAGCAGAAATGGAGTAGCCTCTGGGTGGAGCAGGACGGGTCACAGCAACAGAGGTGATGTACTGTAGCCTCTGGGTGGAGCAGGACAGGTCACAAGGCGGAGTGGCCACATTTTCTCTTCTCTAGTCCAAAGTAAAATGCTGAATACTTCATTAAATTTTTTTTTTTAAAGTTGACATTCCTCCATTGGATTTTCACCTGATCCGCTTGTTTCGGACCATGAATCCTCTGTGCTTCGAGTCACCGGAAGTTGCCGTGAGTCGCAAATCGTGCTTGCCCTTTCTGCTCTTTCGTTTAACTTTAATATGACTTGGGAGCTCCAGTCTCCAAGTACATGCAGGTGAAATCTAAAGCCCTATTTGGACGGGATTAGTTTTACATGGGGACCCCTGGTAATTTGTGATAATCGCAGAGGACGTCTGAGATTTTAGTCCCGTGCGAATGTGCCATGTCTGTAATTTGTAAAGTAATAATTCCGCCGCAAATTACCTCCTGTGTTTGTCAAAACACAGAAGTCCTCTGATGATACTTATCCCGTGCGAATCTGCATGTCAGTGATTGTGATCGCTATCGCCACTTTCTCTTTACTTTCTGCGTTGTTTTTTGTCAATAAGCAGAGGAGTCGCATATCGCGGCTGTGAACACCTGCAGAGTCGCGGATGCTGCTGTCTCTGTGAGGTCTATGGAGAAGTGTAGAGGACAGTATAATGTGTTCACTGACACTAAATAATCAGACCGATGGGTTGCGTTTGTACGTGTTGCTGCAGCGAGCCCCGTCGATCCAAGATGGCGTCGTATTCAAATTAATGGTTTGTGCTCAGTGGCGCATTTTGCCGGCATGGGGGCTGCCCATCATACGTTTACCTCACTGTACTGCTGCCACCTTACATTGGGCCTCATGTATGAAAATTACGCAGAAAAAGGTGTACATTTTGGGTGTAGATCCCAGATACGCCGCAAAAGGCACGCACTTTTGAGTTTATTCACGTTTAAAAATATATATATATACGTCCGTCCGTTCGTTTTCTTCCGCTTCATCCGTTGCGGGGTCGCGGGGGCAGCAGTCTAAGACTTCCCTATCCACACACACTTCCTCCCGCTCATCCGGGGGGACCCCAAGGCGTTCCCAGGCCAGTTGAGAGACATAGTCCCTCCAGCGTGTCCTGGGTCTTCCCCGGGGCCTCCTCCCGGTGGGATGTGCCCGGAACACCTCCCCAGGGAGGCGTCCAGGAGGCATCCGGAATAGATGCCCGAGCCACCTCAACTGGTTCCTCTCGACGTGGAGTAGCAGCGGCTCTACTCCGAGCTCCTCCCGTGTGACTGAGCTCCTCACCCTATCTCTAAGGGAGCGCCCAGCCACTCTGCGGAGGAAGCTCATTTCGACCGCTTGTATCCGCGATCTCGTTCTTTCGGTCATTAAAGAACGAGTCCGATACAGCGACTGCATCACTGCGCACGCTGCACCGATCCGCCTGTCAATCTCACGCTCCATCCTTCCCTCACTCGTGAACAAGACCCCGAGATACTTGAACTCCTCCACTTGAGGAAGGACCTCTCCACCCACCTGGAGAGGGCAAGGCACCTTTTTCCGGGCGAGCACCATGGCCTCAGATTTGGAGGTGCTGATTCTCATCCCAGCTGCTTCACACTCGGCTGCAAACCGTCCCAGTGCATGCTGCAGGTCCTGGTTCGTTGGAGCCAACAGGACAACATCGTCCGCAAACAGCAGAGATGAAATCCTGTGGTCCCCGAACCGGACCCCCTCCGGCCCCTGGCTGCGCCTAGAAATTCTGTCCATGAATACAGTGAACAGAACCGGTGACAAAGGGCAGCCCTGGCGGAGGCCAACATTCACCGGGAACAGGTCTGACTTACTGCCGGCAATGCGAACACAGCTCTGGCTCCGGTCATACAGGGACCGAACAGCCCTCAGCAGAGGACCCCGGACCCCGTACTCCCGGAGAACCCCCCAAAGAACACCCCGGGGAACACGGTCGAACGCCTTCTCCAAATCCACAAAGCACATGTGGACAGGTTGGGCGAACTCCCATGAACCCTCGAGTATCCGATGGAGAGTATAGAGCTGGTCCAGTGTTCCGCGGCCGGGACGAAAACCACACTGCTCCTCCTGGATCCGAGATTCGACCATTGGCCGTAGCCTCCTCTCCAGTATCTTGGAGTAAACCTTACCAGGGAGGCTGAGGAGTGTGATCCCACGATATATACATATATACGCTATATTATATATACACTTTTTTCCCTAGTGTCTAGACCCACTGCAGCACTCATCTCTCCTGAAATTTTGACGTAAATAAATAAATAATAAATGACCT